CTCGGAACAACAGTTCGAAGTTGACATCTTATTGACTCAAAAATAGGCTAAAATTGTACTTTTATAACATTTTTATTTCATTTTACTCTTCAAGATAATACTTAAGTATAATATTATCCTTTTTATGAAGGAAAAGCTCTTTGAACGGCATTTGTTCGATCATGTTGAACTATATTAGTAGGAGTGTCATGTGTCAACAATCGGCGCCTATCGATTTCCAAGAATATCAGCCTGTAATTCATCGCTTTAATGGATATTTACTAGATCTTCAATTGGCTGCAAACCTCTAGGATATCAAGAACTGTCTATAGGATGGGAAGAGGACCTTCGTTTGGATCAGGTAAGTTATATTGGGTTTATAGCGAGTATGACTTGGCCGCTACTTGTATTTGGCAAAATTTCAAGAAATCAATAAACCTGTACAACTTTGAGCGAACGTAACTTGTTTTAAACCAAATTCGTACACTCGATAATTGCCATAAGATCTAATGAGAGAACATACTTTTACACTGTAAAGGTTAGAAGAGCTAACTACGTCCCAATTTTTTAAATTCATGGTTTAGAAATGGGCTATTTTGAGGRTTTCYGAGGAGGCGGTTAGTAAGGTTTACAATATTTAAAACTACTTCATACAAAATAGATTTATATATAATTCACCACGATAGCATAAAACTAGAGGAAATAAGAAAGAGATTGGTGTATATTTCATTATTTTCGGAAGTGTTTTTAATCTTTTTAAACGTTACCAAATATACCCTTTTTCCTGTTTTCAGAAGGCTGATTTTTGGTGCCACGAGCCGAAACTCAAAATGGCTCCTAGCTCAACAACAAAATGAATCAAACTATATCTGTTTTTATTCTAGTATTAGTGAAGGCTTTCAGTTGGAATAGATAAAAGAAATATTTATTTTTGGAGCGAAAATGACCGGGTGGTTCTTACTGAGACAGCCTCTTAAGTCTCATGGTCATTGCTTATTTCCTTGATGAATGTTTGCACTGTATCCAAGTACTGGATGACTTCACTGTGTTTTTTTTTTTATCATATGGTTTCACTGGAAGAGGGATGATCACAGACTTCTTATTCATTTCTTCACTCCACTCATGTTGTATATTAGTGTATTTTAAAGAGGTTTAAGCCAAGGGATATAGTCACATAGGATCCTTGCTACTAAAACTATGTATTCTTCTCTAATGTGGTTTTGCTCTTCCTGG